GTTGAAATGAAACAGTGTGCATTGAAGTTCCTGGCACTGCGAGGAAATTCAATATTTAATATTTTAAAGACCTTCCCATTCCCACCTGGTGACGTACCTTGTGTAAAACCCCAATCCAAAATCATCCCAACAGGTGCCTTTTAAGTGAACTGTTGCTATTTCCAATAATAAAAACTGAGACCTGGGGCCCGACATGGTGGCCTAGTGGCTAAAGTCCTCACCTTGCATGCCCTGGGATCCCATATGGGCTCTGGTTAATGTCACAGCCACTCTACTTCCCATCCAGCTCCCTGCTTATGACCTGTGAAATTAGTCAAGGACAGCCCAAAGCCCTGGGACCCTGTACCTTCATGGGAGACCCAGAAGAAACTCTTGGCTCCTGGCTTCTGATCACTTCAGCTCTGTCCATTGTGGAAAAAACTGAGACATGCCAAGATCCTGACTGTCCACAGATACTCAGTCACTGAGTGGGAATGGCCAGCACCTGCATCCAAGTAGCTTGGCTTTGCAGCCAAAGAAGCCTAGAATAACACCACGACCCTTTATCACTAGTCCCCACCCACCTGTTCGTACACACAACACAGCAAAGACATGTGAATGAGAAGCCCATATTCTTTGAAAAGAATTAGAAATGACAAGTTCAAGCGGAGTTCTGCTGGCAAAGCTGCCTGTGAAAACCTGCCCTGAGAGTCCTGCCCACACATTACACTAATTAATCTACTTTCCTAAAAACCATGGGACTGATTCTGATCTACAAAGCAAGAAACACATGTGCAGGAGCATTTTTTCCACCAGAAAAACTTCCCAACTAAATTAGATAATTCTGTTCAAGTTTTTCAACTAATATCTTAAGTTCAAATTTTTCCCACCCTTACTAGACCAAGATGGAAAAACAGAATCAAAATAAGTCAGTTATTTCATATGAATTACTCTCATTCACAGTCTATACATTCAAATGCTTTTAGCTGCTTCTAATTGACTTGGAAGAGAACTCCTTGACAATATCACACAGTACGGAAAGGGGCAAAAGTTACTAAGGGAAAAAAATAGATAACAGATTCGTCTTTCTGTCATCATTACGATCTGATTTCAAATACCAAAAGCTGGAGCAGTGTAGTGGCATGACAAGTTAAGCCACTACTTACAACACTAGCTTTCTATTTGGGAGCATCGGATGAGCATGGCTGTTCTGATCCAGGCCCTGCAAATGCATCTGAAAACAGCAGCAGAAGATGATCCAAGGGCTTGGGTCCCTTCTGACCACATGGGAGACCCATCTTCAGCTTGGCCCAGCACTGGCTGTTACAGCCACTTGAGGAGTGAACCAGCACAAAATCTCCCTCTCTCTTTCAATCTCTCAATCTCTCTCTCTCTCTCCCCTCCTCCCCCTCTGTAATTGCCTTTCAGATAAATAAGGAAAGAAAATTTTAACAGACAGCAATAGCCATTCCAGCTTCTCCTTTCTGGTCATTTGTATCCACTTAACTCTTACTATGTTGCTTCAATTGTTTTTGCTTAATCAAGTTTTACACAAAGGAAGATCACGAACCCAGTCTTCACTGCAGAGCCAGTGAGGTGGCTGCTGATGTTGGGGGCTGACAGGAGTGCTGACAATGACCAATATACACCAGAATCTAGCTGCTCCCCTACAGAGGCATGAACACATCTATATAGAACTCCCTCCAAATTTGGTAGAAATACTCTCTAAAGGGCTGCATTTCACTGGAAATAATTTGTCCAGGGACACAGCAAATTAAGCTGCCGCCTATGGTACCAGCATCCCACATGGGTGCCATTTCAAGTCCTGGCTACTCCACTTCTGATCCAGCTCCCTGCAAATACGTCATGGGAAAGCAGCAGAAGATGCCCAAACATTTGGGCTCCTGCACCCACATGGTAGACCCATAGGAAGTTCCTGGCTCCTAGCTTAGACAAGCCCAGGTCCAGCTGTGGTGGCCATTTGGGGAATGAACCAGAAGAAAAAACATATCTCTCTCTCTCTCTCTCTCTCTCTCTCTCTCTCTCTCTCTCCCATTCTTCCTTTCTTCTTCCTTCCTTTCTTCCTTCTTTTCTTTCCTTCTTCCTTTCTCTCTCTCTCTTTCCCCACCACTTCCCACCCTAACTTGCAAACAAATAAAGTGTAACTCTACCATTCAAATAAATAAATTATTTTTTAAAAAGAAGAAGAAAAAAATCAGTTTGTACTGCAATCAGTGCTGCTGGCTTCAAGGGTAGAAATGAAAACAAAATTACCTCCACTCCTGCCAAATAAATAAATGAACTCTTCCCTGAGAAAAAATCATACTTGTCTGCCTTTACTCAAGTATATGCTTCAATATGAATGCTTTAGTTATTACCGTTTCTGACACAAATTAATCCAGTAATACATTCAGCCTGTGGTCAGGCACTGCCACCCACCCACCCAGGGAGTTCTCAGGAATCCAAGACTGCTGGAAACAAGCCACTCACAACCTGCTCTCTTCTTCCCTAACTCTGCCAGGAGATGAACACTGACTAAAATCAACCTGAAATCTGGGGCCCTCATAAGAGAGTGATGCATTTGTTTATGTGATAGGAGAAATAAAACATGGCTCCTGATTTAGAAACCCTCATTAACTATGTATTGTTACAACTGGAGAAGTTGGACAAAGCAAAGGATGTAAGGACAAGAAGGGAGAGATGTCTTGCTCCTTGAGCCCCAAGATTACAGGAAGCATCTGCTGGGAGAACAATAAGCAAGCCTCTGATAATAGACGAGCTCTGGCCTCTGGATAGGAGAGAATACTCCTGCCAGGAGCTTTTTCAATGTAACTAGTTGTCGACAGTCAGTAACAGCATATGTTCCCTCTTTGCTTCTCAAAGATCCTTCCTGCACCTCTGTTTCCAATCTAATCCTGAGCGTTTGAGTCTTACAATTGGCTACAAAGGACTCTATATCCAAAAAAACTACAGTCAACCGCCAAACTCCAACAACAGGCACCACCTATGCAGACACTGCTTCTTGCAGAACAGAGGGAAAAGACTGATAGAGGAGGGTCAGCATAATGGTACAGTGGGTTAAGACACTGCTTACCATACCACCATTTCACATGGGAGTTGTGGTTCATGTTCTAGCTGCTCTGCTTCCAATGTAGGTCCCTGCTAATGTGCCTGGAAAAGTAGCAGAAGATGGTCCAAGTGCTTGGGCCCTACCCACGTGAGAGACCAAGGTGGAATTCCAGGTTCCCTGCTGAATCCAAGCTATTGCAGCCATTTGGGAAGTGAATTAGTAGGAGAAACATTCTCTCCTTCTCTCTCTCTCTCTCCCCCTCAACTCAACTTTAACAGAGAGAGAGAGAGAGAGAGAGAAAAAAAACAATAATGGAGAGTACAGAAAAGACAACATCAGGAGAAATCCTAGAACCAAGCATAGAAGTATTCAGCAGAGTCCAAATGTCCATCAGAACCACCTATGTTACTCAGTAGCTCTGCACTGCGGTAAGCTACCACACAAGACAAAGTCATAGATTCTTGTTGAATAAAGAATGAATCAGGAACGCCCTTCATTACTATCTCCTGTGACTTGGTATTTCTTCTTTCACTATTATCATCAGATCTAGATTCATTCATTTCCAGAAATGACAATTCAATAGTGAAACGTGACACCTGCCCCCATGTAAACAGGAAGTGTTGCTGTCTGCAGCCTTGTCTTCAGTATTGTCACCACTTCCAACAGAAGCAGTTGTCACGTACCGTTGTCAACTTTCTAATTGCCCTTCAGAGTGTTTCATTATCTCTGAGTTATACAGCGGGAGACTGACAATCAGATGACTTGAGTATGACAGCTCTGCTAGAACTCAAACTTCTCTACTTCCTGACATGGTTTCTACCAGAGACAAAGTGGTGTGATCTGGCCTCCACATACCCCCACTGTGCCCCACTGCGCCCTGCTGTGCCCCACATTTACCCAGGCTGTCACCTTCTAGTGGAGGAAAGAACCACAAGTGTCGACAATCTCTTGTTTTCTCCCTTCGTGTTTTCTGCCTTCATGATGGTTTAACCTCTCTCCACTGGTAGACAGTGAATATTTATTTAATGAATGCTTGTGGAATCCCATCCACCCTTCATTATATGCCTTTCAATGACTTTTTTTAAAATCTCTTAACTGTATAGAAATCTATGCCTTGCTTTCTGGCCTGACAAACTTCTAAACATTCCTCCAGTGTCTATATTTGGGTGAAGGCAAGATTACCAGTGATTTGTTTTATTTCCTTTCCTTCCCAGTGTGTATCAAGTTTTAAGCTCTGAGCATTGATTGCTCTTGTGATAAGGAAAAATATATAATAAATTTTCATTTTAATGAGAAAAGTTTAAGTATTTACTGCTTTTCCCCAAAAAGAAAATTATTCTTCCCCTCATACTGAAAAAGCAGACATCCTCAATACGGGACCAGGTCAGAACCGAAACTCTAAATAAGAATTATTTATCCTTTGAGAAATACATATTCATGGTACTGTTTTTTTACTTTAAAAATTAAAGTTGTATTCCACAACACCGGATTTGAATTACTGTGTAGCTACTCCTTTCCTCCCCAAAGGCCTAGGTAGCAAAATCCTCCACGGCAAATCCACGTGGCTTCATCAGAGACAGCCTGTCCTCGCAGGGTGTGCAGCCTGTGTGGCCCAGTCTCTCTCCATATGAATCCAAGCGGTGGTGACGGGAGCCGGGACCCGGCTGAGTCCACAAGCTCCTCAGTGAGAAACAGTCATGGAGTCACATGTCGGTGATGCTGGCGCCACCCATGAAGAGAAACCCAGGTTTCTGAGCTTCTACTCGGATGAGTGCCCAGAAACACCATTTTGGACTTGACATAAATGAGAATGGCAAAATTACTTATTCAAAATGTATGTTGCAGGAGCTGCTGTAAATCAGGAGTACTCCATGAAACTACCTAATGTGTGGTATGCTAGCCCGGCCCCGGTATTACTGCACAAGGGAGGGCTCTGCACAGTTGCTCTTACCTCTGTGGAAGACACCTTCTGCCTCCAGGACGGACACATCTGAGGCTGACCTCACCTTGACCAGCTCTGCCCTCACAGTGACCTGTGGGGGGCTCTGTTCCAGAAGCTCCACTCCAACCGTCACGTTTGCTCCAGGCCTGATGATCGCTGGAGCTGTCACCAGAAACCGGGGCCTAAAGAATTCCCAAGAAGGGAACAAACATACTTTCTCATTCTCCCATCTGCATTTTACAGTCACCCTCAAATTTCACAGACAGAGAAACAGATTCCACATACTGGGCCAAGAGCAGTGACTCCAACTTAGCAACAGCATGCAAATGCTACTGAAACAACAGCAAACTCCACAAGTCAACTTCAACGCAATAACTCATGCACCGCTATTAGAGGAAGGTGTTGTTTCATTTTATTTTTATGTATTTGAGAGATAAGAGACGAAGAGCTCTCACCTCCTACTTCATTCCCCAAACACCCACAAGCTGGGACTTCAGGGAGCCAGGGACATTGCCTGGGTCTCTTTTGTGAGTGGCAGCGCTCAGCTACCTGGGCTGTCACGCAGGCCTCTTGGAGTCCCCATCAGCAAGAAGCTGACCTTTGGGGCCACAGCCAGAGGCAGGACTCCTGCTCAGGCACTCCAGTGCGAGTGACAGGAATCCGAATGGACCACAGCCCCAAGCCTGTGACAATAATGCCATCATGTAAACCCCAAGCAGCACAGAAAGAGCCACTGCACACCTGACTTGTACAGAGGAGCATGCATAAGTTACGGTCCAAGTTCAAGACTCTTACATTTATGTGCAAAAAAAAAAACCCATCCAAGCAGGATAATTTTTTGTTTAAAAAAAGGGGGGAGGAGGAGGAAAGGAAGGAAACTAGGGTTTTCGCCTGTGTCTTTTACAAACTTTATGCTTGAACATGCACCCAAGGTAAGTATACCAATACAGTGGGTGAAACAGACCATCGAAAACAAACTGCTAGTGGAGAAACGTCCAGGTATGGCTGACCGTACAAGGTCGCACAAGCAAGGATGCTCTCTTCCTAAGTAAGCGTTAGGACTCAATTGAAAACCTCTATTCCAAGGGGCAGGGCCGCTTCCATGATCTGGGAGCTCAGGTTAGTTATCTTCCTCCAATATCTGCACTTGAACCCATGCTTAGTCACCTCAACCACACAATGACAATGCCAAAGTTGAGACATCTTGTTTAGAAATTAAAAACTAAAATCATGCCTTGGAGAAAAGCAGGTTATCTGGATGCAAAATGTGAAGAAGCAAAAGACAGAGGGACTAAAAAATGACTCTTCAGAAAGCTGTGATGGCCTGAGAAACGTTGAACAACTCCAAGGGTAGAGAAAGTTAACAGTCCCGAGGATAGCCACCCTGCAGCGACCTAGGGTCAAACCTCCTGGCCACCGGCTGGGCTGCGGGCCCCCTGTGCCCAGCCTGCAGTGTGGCCCCTGCAACCCCCCACAACACCCGCAGCCCGGCCCCGGGGTGCACCCGCCCAGCCCGAGCGCCAACCCCGCGCTCCTACCCGGAGGCCGCGGCCAGTGCGGCGAAGCACACGCAGAGAAGGTGGGCAGTGGTCAGCAGCTGTGGGCTCTGCATCTTGCTGGGGTCTGCCTGGACTGCCTTCCGCTGCGGGGGAAATTCGCGGGCACCACGGGGTGCGGCTCTCCACCTCCTCCCAGATTTTTTTTTTTTTTTCTCCACCCCCGGGACTGCGAAATTTAGCAATCTGAAATGGGCGCGCCTAAAAAACGGAGAGCTCTAAATCCAGACGGGACTTGGTAGCTCCACCCCTCCACGCGCATCACAGTCCGGGAGGTGGGAGTGACTAGAACACAGTTCCTAAAAACACCAGCGCCCTGCTCCCCGCAGAGAACAGAGGGCGCCCACTTCCCGGCCCTCCTGGCTCCTCGGGCTGTTTACACTAGCGCACTACCAACCAAGCCCAGAGTGCACGAACAGGCCCATCCTTGTGAGCCGAGATTCATAGCAGCTATGTGAAGTGGGAAAAAATCAGTCATTGTCTTGCAGAGTATGAGTCAGAATTTTAGAGAAATGGTACACACAAACACACACACACACAGGGGTGTTTCCTGGGCAGTCGTCCAGTGTATAGGAGTGGAGATGGAGGATTTTTTTTTTCTTAAGGAAGTGGGAGAAAAAGAATCCTGGCGCTTACAGAAGTCCATGTTGCTGCCTAGCACTCTGAAGATGCAATTACCTGGGACCTTGCTGCCGTCTCTATAAACACATTTGCTGCAGAAAGTATTAATTAGGACTGTGAAGCTTGCAGTAATTTGTCCTAACACGATTAGGGGTGAGGCAGTACTCCTGTCAAAATGGGTGCCAGGGGCCAGCGGTGCCCAACAGTTTGGAGCCCCGCTCTTCAGTCCTAGCTGTTCCGACCCCTTCCCCCACCTTGGCAACAGCCATCGTCTTCAGATGACTCAGGTTTCACCATGACTACACCATAAAAGCAGGGAACTGCCAGAAAGGGCTGAAAAACAAGAACACTCAGTCCCTTACAACGTAAATGTTCTAATTCATGGAGCAGTTTCAGATGGTAATGCTTTACTACAGGCAAAGTGCAACCGGAAAAGAGGTTGGCAGTGGTTTGTCTCACGGGAAAGCTAAGAGTTAAATTAGGGGGCACATAGCACCTAGACGAACTGTGGCTTCTGGAGCCGAGATCCTGATTTGCTCCCTTCCCTGTCCCACCCTTTCTCACCCTGCAGAACAGCCCTCGCAAATCCTCCAGGTCCTCTGCTATGGGCAGCCTATCTTTAGCGGTGGTTTCCTGGGCATGGTGAATTTGGAGCGGATCCTTAGGTGCAGATTGTTCCTGACAGCTGCCCGTGCTGAGCTGGCCTCCTCACCTCTGTTACTCAGAGAGGAGGATCAGGATCAAGTGGGGTCAAAACGTCAACATCTAAATATGTACTTCTCCTTCTCCAGCGTGTATGAGAAGTACATGAAAAAGCAGCAGCTGGTTTGGCTTATCTGGAATAGAGATAGAGATTCTGCTTTATGTCAGCACTTTGTGGGCCACAATGGGTCCTCAGGTAGGGGAAACTTGGGAAGCAAATAAGCGAAGGAAGTTGACAAGACTGAGAAAATACTTCTCAAGTTTTCACTTATTTCACAGTAAGAGGCTGAATGAAATAAATTGCATATCTATGCAATGGAATATTGTTTAAGCAGGGGACTAAACAGACTAGTCATTTAGAGATAAGTCTTCACGAAATTCTTTACAGAGGGAAAACTCTTACACAACAAATTAAATGTATGCTTATGTGTACATAGATATCAATGTAAGAATACTTCGGGAGTTCATGGAAAAATGAAATCAAAGTGTATGTTTATATTGATGCAAAAACTTGAAGTCCACACAATTTTTTCAAGACACACATTTTCCTGAAACTTTTTAAAGATCTCTCATGTGCCCTGAAAAAAGACTCGAAGAGTCCTTACCAAAATATTAGCACTATCCTAGTGATCACCTCTTTCTGCCAAGTATACTACAATGACTATAGGCTGTAGGACAGGCATTGTGGCACAGTACATTAAAGTGCGACCTGATGTGAGTGCTCGTCCCTCTACTTGCAAACCAGCCTCTTGCTAATCCATCATGAAAGGCAGCAAGCAGTGAGTCTGTCTTGGGCTCCTGCCACCCACATGGGAGACCCAGATGAAGTTTCCTAGCCCCCTGCTTTTTGAGAATATTTAGGGAACTGAACCAGCCAATGGAAAGCCTTTTTTTAATAAACTCCAAAGGGAGCTCTTAGAAACTCTTTTCCAATAAATCTTATTGAAAAGAACTATGTGGTCTTTGAGATAAGAATCCATGCTGCTGTCATGGTTAATGAGAAAGAGAACCCCTCAGCAACCATGGGAGCCAGGAGAGTTGTCCACATAGGCCATTTCAGGCCTAGTGTTGAGCCTAAAGTCACTGGAAGTCAGCCAGGGAAGTTAAATGTCAATGAGAACAAGGACTATCTGACAGAGAACAGGAGCTGCTGTCACTTTTACCATCTTCAAATTCAGTGCAATGGGTAACTACGGGTGAAGCTGGAATCCTCCACCCAGAGTTGTACAGGAATTTGTTCTAAAAGTCAGAAGAAGCTGAAAGAGGTGCCCCTCTGGGAATGGAGGAGCTATGGGCTGGATGACAGGCCCCCATAACCACAAATTGAGCTACCACATCCGTAACAGCAGGGGCGAATGTTCCCACCTGCCTGGCACCACATCCTGACCTTCAAGGAGTGAAAAACACAGTTTTCTGCTGCACTGCTGCCTTCCAATTCACACCAAATGTATTTGTGGTCAGCACCAGCTAGAAGCACGCAGCAAAGGGAAGTCTAAAAAGCTCAGCTTCATCTTAAATAAACTGGCACAGGACAAAACCACCAAAGTCCTCGCCTCATCAATTTGACATCCATGCATTCCCCTTTTAGCTACATTTAACTTAAAAACAGAATGCCAAAAAACAAGCTTTCACATAACATGATGTTACTATCCTTGGTATAGCCAAAGCTCTCCAAAAGAGGCTACAAAATTCCTCTAACCATCTTTCTACATGTTCCTCTCTCTGACACCCTGTTACACACAGGGTGTCAGAAATACAAAGTTAAACACTAATGGAGAAAGAAAACTGTTGGTTAATACACAAATATATTTATATTAGAATAAGAAGGAAATGAATAGGGTGAGTATTTGGTTTAGTGGTTAAGATAACTGCTTGGGCTTCATATATCTCATTGGAATACCTAGGTTTGGGTTTCAGCTGCATTCTCAGTTTTAGCTTTCTGCTAATGCAAACTGCAGGAAGTAGCAGTAGATGACTCAAGTGATTGGGTCGTTGCCACTCATGGGAGATACCTGGATGGAGTTCCAGGCTCCTGGATTTGACGCAGCCCAGCCCCAGCTGTTGCTGGAATTTGGGTAGGGAACCAGCACATTAGATAGATAGATAGATAGAGAGAGAGAGAGACATATATCCTGGCTCTCTATTTCCCTCTCTTCTCTCACTTTTATTCTCTCTTCTAAAAAATAAATAGTGGCCAGCTTTCTGGCATAGTGGGTTGGGTAATTACCTAAAATGCCAGCATCCCATATGTGCATTTGCTTGAGTCCCAGCAAGTCCACTTCCAACCCAGCTCCTTGCTAATGTACCTGGGAAAAGCAGTGGATGATGGCGTGAGTACTTGATGCCCTACAGCCATGTGAAATCCAGATAGATCCCTGGTTTCTGATTTTGTTCAGCTGAACTAGCTCTGACAGTTGTGCTCATTTAAGGAGTGACTCAACAGATGAAAAATCTCTCTCACTCGCTCATTCACTTTCAAATAAAGAGATTTTTTAAAACAAGAAAAAGATCTATTTGAAAGGCAGATTTACTGAGAGAAGGAGATAAGAGAGAAAGATCATCCATCCACTAGTTCACTCCCTAAATGGTTGCAATGGCCAGAGCTGAGCCTATCCGAAGCCAGGAGCCAGAAGCCTCTTGCAGGTCTCCCGGACAGGTGAAGGGTCCCAAGGCTTTGGGGCATCCTCCACTGTTTTCTCAGGCCATAAACAGGGAGCTGACTGGGAAGTGGAGCAGCCGACACAAGCCAGACCAGCACCCATATGCAATCCTGGCACTTACAAAGAGAAGGTTAGCTAATTGAGCCACTGCACCAGGCCCAGATAAACAGATCTTTAAAAATAAGTAAATGAAAAAATTTTAAAGCAAATTTTTGGGCCCAATACAGTAGTCTAGTGGCTAAATTCACACCTTGCACATGTCAGGATCCCATTTGGGCACCGGTTCATATTCCGGCTGCCTCATTTCCTATCCAGCTGCTTGCTTGTGGCCTGGGAAAGCAATAAAGGACGGCCCAAAGCCTTGGGACTCTTCACCCAAGCAGGAGACCCAGAGACTGTTCCTGGCTGCAGATCAGCTCAGCTCCTGGCATTGCAGTCATGTAGGGAGTGAACCAACAGACAAAGATCTTTCTCTTAGTCTCTCCTTCTCTGTAAATCTGACTTTCCAACAAAAATAAATAAATCTTATTTAAAAAGTTTTCTTGCATTTGAATTTTGAAAGGAAAAGTGCAAATAACTGTTATTTTTGCTGTTAGCCACGTGACGGGAGACAGCATTTATAAATACCTTCTTCCACTACCCACTCCTTTTCTCTCAGGAAGCACCAACCCCAGTCATGGTTGTTTACATGGCAGAGTGACCCCAATCCTCATTCCTAAAGGACTTGAGCCATTAGCAGTCCCCCTTATATTGTGTTCCTTTCTATTGACTTTCATCATAGGACTAGAAGTACTAAGAAATGGCACAGTGTAGCCTCTGCATTCTAGAAATATTCCTTATCCCCAAGTGTGCTGGCAACCCCTTGACAATCAGCATCACTCAATCACTCCGGCCAGTACAAAGTAACCCTCCACTGGCGTGAGGAGCCCAAGTTGTCAGGTGACAAACTCAACATCTGGTTAGCTGAACTACTACTATATCATCCCTTTTGGAAAGAATCCCTGTCTTGGAACTGAGGCCTCTAAACCAAAAGGCTGATACTGCAAGAATGAGAAGATAAATATGCCCCAAAG